AGCTTTTTTTTTTTCATTAGAACTAATAGGTTCTGAAAAATTTTTACAACCTCACCCTCCTCCCAGTTCCTTTCCCCACACTCTTCTGCATTCTCTAGATACTTTCGTTTGCCTCTTTTTTTTTGTCCCAACATTTGCCTCGATCTTCGAGTTTATTATTTTCCTTTTCACTGGGTTGCGTATTTGTTAAGAAGATGTATATTTGATTTTAACATAAATTGTTCATAAGAATTTTTTTGGTCAAAAATTGGGCTTAAAATTTCCATATTTAAATTTCCAAACTTTCTCGCTCAGTTATCTCTTCATTTTTGTGTGTGTTGTGTTGGTTGCAGATCATGCGTAGCATTTACTCCACGTGGTCGCGTAATGGGTGTTGCTGCAAAGCAGCAACTGAACACGAACCTCAGAAACACCGTGATCAATTTCAAACATCTTTTGGGCCGAAAATTTAGCGACCCCATCGCGCAGAACTTCCGACAGTACATACCATGTGAAATGGTGCAACTTCCGGAGGATAATATTGGATTAAAGGTAATGCCGCTGTCCTAATTTGTTGCATAAAACCAATTTCTGGAAAATTTTGATGAAGGCATGACAACCGCTATTACTGACGTCCGCAGGTATAGAAATTTTGAAGATGCAAACAACGAATATCCCTAGGTACGAAATTTTTCGGGTTAAGACGTATATGACTTAATGGACCGAAACGCCCGACCTACACTACTGTTGTTTACTTCTACATCCCATCATCTCTACCTCCAGGATTGACCTGGAGGCTGCAACCTAATTAGAAGAAGATGGAGGCCTGAAATTTTCTACGTGTTAAACATATGCAGTTTGTTTGGCGCTGTTGGCCCACCGTGAAGAGGAACACAGTCGAATTTTGACAGTTAGTGGAAAATTGGCAAATACCATTTATATTTCCCAAGTAAGCGAGTATGTGCAATGACCTGATAACATGTCTGTGTTTCATCCCTGAGCTGGAAAAATTTCCGTAACATCTGGAAGTTTATGTTGGCATTTCGCCACCACTCCGGTCTCTTCCGACGTACTTCTCATGGAGCTGGAAATGATTTTTTTACGAACTGGGCACAGTTCTGGCTCGTGGCAAATAAAGAAGGCGTAGCAGCCATTTCCCTTTTTTTTTAGGTGGAATATTTTGGGGAGCAGCAGGTTTTCTCGCCGGAACAGCTGGTTGCGATATTCCTGGTAAAGCTGAAAGAGATCACCGAGAACAGCAGTCATGGGATTAGGTGCGTCAGCGATTGTGTTGTTTCGGTATGTGCTTTTTGTTACCCGTTCTTTTTTGCCTCGTTTTTCTTTTTTTTTCCGGACCAGGTGTTTGTTTTTGGATAAAATGGATGTAAATTTTCCGAATTTGAAAAAGTGCTCGAAGAATGGTGAAGCATTAGGGTAATGCTCCCTACTTATGTACGAGCAAAATCAGGTGTTTAGAATCGCCCGGGGCCCACATACGAGCGCGTGGAAATTTTGGCATGAAAATCACTAATCCGGGAACGAAAAAAGCTAGAAAACTGAAACTTTAGGCTATGCATACTTTATTACTACAGTCGGCTGGCGCCTCATCTTAGCACGACGTTGCCTTACCAACCGGCCTGTCAGCCGTTTCCATGGCTTATGGCTGATGCTGTGGGATCTGACGGTCAGCTCACTGCTAGTATTCCTAGTCGCTACTTCGATTTTCCCACAAGAAGTGTTGGTTATACCGCATTCTCTGGACAGCTTGTGAGATCATTTACCGCATCTACAGGCCATACTCCTTCGCACTAAAAAGCCATCACTCCACGAAAAAATTCGGCATATGCTGAAGTATTCTAACTCGTTAGGGTTCAGTTGTAAGTGCACTGGGTGAATATAGAAAATAGGCATATTCGCATGCTCTTCTCAACTGATCTATCATTTTGAGGTGCCATTTTACTTCGCGGACGTCCAGCGGCGCGCCCTTCTACGTGGCATACGAATAGCCGGTCTGAACTGTCTGCAAATTGTCAACGAAACTACGGCTGTAGCTTTAGCTTATGGTAACACATTTACCTCTCATATTTACTGATTTTAAAAAATCACTTTGCAGTTCCGTCTTTACTAGCAGGTCATTGAGAAAAGCCATAATTCTGCTCATTTTTTTGTCAAATTTAAACCACTTACTAGATGTTCCCCTTGTGGTTATGTAGGCACTTCGATGACACGATTGGATAACTTTATCGGAAAAGCAAAGAAAATGTCTGCTTCCTACAATCGTTGCAAAATTAGAGGACTTTTAAAGATTTGGCGCAGTTACATGATGATGGAAACGAACTCTCAATACATATGCATGTATAGCGCAAGATAGAGGGGCTTGGTTAGTATATGAGTAGTTTTAGTAGCGCTGAAGCTCCACAGTAAGTTTCTTTATCAAAATCAGGATTCTGTTGCCGGGAGGAGGGCAGGACGGGAGAAAGCGGGGGAGGGGGAGGGTTACAGCGCTCTTTAACAGCAACAGCTGCTTACGGGAGAGGCGCCGTTGCTCTTGTTCCTTAAAGCTGTTTGAGTTACTAGCATAATATGCGGAATGTTACTGAATAACCTGATCAAGCCATCGAAAGACTATCTTTTCCAGCATCGAATGAGGACTCTGCTTTGGTCAGCGAGTCATTCACTGTGCCACTGGATCGTTTTATATCTGATAATTGCCGTTTTTGATTCTTTTACGTTTAACGATATTGCGCAGTGGTGCGATTTTCTGTCCATGAGGGGCGGTTGCTGGGAAGAAATGTACCAAATCGACTAATAGAGAAATGAAGTATAAGTAGCGGTGATAGTGGGTTCAGTTTGGAAATATACAGCTTCTCGAAGAAAAGAAAAACCTGCCTGACTCAGGCGTTTTGGGGCATCGCGGTGTGATTTCGGAGGTTTTGCGCCGTATGTGCAAATGATTCTCTGTTGTGTTTCAGGCATTTATAAACAGGATTTGCCGCTGGAAAATGAGCCCGCTCGGATTGTTGCATTCGTTGATGTTGGCCATTCGGCTGCGCAGGCCGCACTGGTTGCTTTCAACAAGGGCAAATTAACTGTTTGTTTCTTAAATTCTTCACAGATCAAACTTTTATAAGGTGTAGTTTGTGCATCTGAGAACCATGGAGCAAACATTCCACAAGGCTAAGAATCAGCGAAGAACGGGGAAATCAGATGCGTAGAATGGTTTTGTGGGGGCTACAAGAGCACTGGAAGAATACTAACAGTTGAAATATCGAAGCAATTATCCTTTCTGTAAAGGGACGGGATGGGTAGAAAGGCAGAGATTAAAAAAAGCGAGTGATAACTGGAAAGGACTGGGAAAAGGAGGGTAGAAGGGAGAAGGGGAGAGGTACAACCGTCACAATGACGAGGTCCAGTTGCAGCACTGAACAGGATTGTATGCGACTTGATGGTCCAAAATATTCCCATTCAGATCTTAATCTTATTTTATTCACATTTTCCTTTTTTATTTCCTTACATTTTTCATAAACGCATACCAACTAAAATTAAAATTAAAGTACTGAAAACAGAAAGCGTTTATTGTAATAAGGTGGCAGGCCAAACCTGATGACCATGGTAGATTCAAACGGACGTTTTTGCGCGTTCTTTGAAGATCGGCTGTTTGTGGGGTACTAGTCGGATCTGTGGCCAGGTATAAAGTGTTCCATAACAAATTGGGTGGGTTTTTTTTTTGTTTCCGCCGTCAAAAATTGCTCAGAACGCACCCAAATTAAATTTTTGTGGCAAAATGTGGAGGAAAAAAACGATAGATTTTGATTTTTTCTTTTCCCTCTTCTCGTTATGCGGTGATGATGTGGAACCGGTTCTAGTGACACAGGGAGCTGATTCATACAGTCTTTCACAATTTTTATTGTCTTCCGGGACAGGTGCTTCGTAGCTCAGGGCAGTGAGCAGAAATATGAGCAAATATTAGTGAGCAAGCACCGGGTTCTTCGTGACTCGTCGTTCAGTGGGGGAAACAAAAGGTATTTTTTGTTTTGAGCAATGACAGGGTGACTGGATTGTGAATGTGTTGTAGGTGCTTGGCACAACATATGACCTGGGTGTCGGTGGTTTGGCATTCGATGCGCTTTTACGGGATCATTTCACCGAATTATTCAAGCAAAAATACAAGGTTTTGAATTTCGTTTGAAATTTGTGAAGTACAAATTGAAGAAAAATGAACATATCGAAGCGCGTTAAAGCAAAGACAGCATACCCCGGGGTACAGGGTCGTTGAGAAGACGTACAGCTGGCTGGTTGGGTTACTTTCGATGCTTGGTTCATTTCAGTTACGTCGGGGACAGCCCATTTTATAAGGTGGTTTTGGACTATTTATAGTAGCACGAATTTAGGCTAGGCTTATGCACTCAGAAACGAGCTACTGTCTTATGGAGCTGAAGTGGGTAGGAAATCATGACTTGATCGGATGTCTGGTTGAAAAAGCATGCCAGACATACATACATACATACATACATACATACATACATACATACATACATACATACATACATACATA